AATCTTTGCTTACCCAAGGTCACAGATTTTCTCCTGTGTTTTCTTCCAAAAGTGTTATACATTATGTTTTACCTTTAGATAGGATTCATTTTTATATATGGTATAAGATTTGGGTTAAATTTCATTTTTTTGCACATGAATATCTGGTTGTTCAAGCACCATATTTTGGAAAAGTTTTTTTTTTTTTTTTCAACTGAATTGTCTTTTACTCGTCAAAATTCAGTTAACTATATCCATGTGTCTCTCTGCTTTCTGTTGCATCCCACTGATCTATTTGTCTGACTATATCAGATGGTATCATGCTTGTTTCATTTCAAAGTATTATATATAATTACATTTAAGTTTCATTAAACTTTCATTAAATTTTTAAATTTTGCTTAATCCTCATTAAACTTTTACTCGTACAGAATAAAAATTATTGGGTTGCAACTGAAGATATCTAAAATTTCAAGTGAATTATATCAAATTTAGTAAAAGACCAAAGTAATTTTATATTATTATGTTTTAGTTTTAGATGGCATCCATTAACTCTGACAGATCCATACATCACAAATATTGGCACTTTCTCTCCTTTTCTTCCTTTACATATATTTTTCTTAGTTATTTTTTTTCAGTATAACACTTGAAAATTCACATTAATTCTATATCTATATAATTCTGAAAGTTTTTAAATATAAATTCATTTTTCCTCACTGCGAACCACAAGGTCAGCAGTTGGAAACTACCAGCTGTTCCGCGGGAGAAAGATGAGGCTTTCCGCTCCCGTTAAGATTTACAGCCTCGGAAACCCTGTACAGGGTCGCTATGAGTTGGAACCGACTCCACGGCACATAACAACAACAACAACAACAATGAGCTCTTTTGTTAGAGTCTCTATTCCTAGGTTCTTTGAGTCAGCCTTAATTACTATGACATGATTTTCAATAGTTCTGCTAAGAAAGCAATATAGTCCTTGAAATACTTCACGTTTGAAATTCTGTGCTGCTTTCCTTTATATTTATAGAACGTCTTGTTGTTGTAGTTGTTAAGTGCCATTGAGTTGAGTTGGCTTCAACTCATAACAAAGGGCTTCTGAGGAGTATGTGGTGGGTTTGAACTTCTGACCTCTCTGCAAGCAGTCCAGTGCTTATCCTACACGGCCACACCAGGAACAAAATTTATACAGTTCTGAAATACAGAAAAAGTGGCTCAAGAAAAAGTGGCTCAAGAATACTATGCACAGCTAAGCAGCTGATTCCACTGTTCTGGTTAGAACAAAGATTGGACTTTTATTCAGTTTCTCTCTGTCTCTATTGTGAAATATATGAAAAATCAAAAGATTTTGTTGACTTTCAGGAGGGTTTCTGATGAGATGGTGGCTAGGGTTAGAGGCAAAGTCAGGGTACATCTCTGCTCCATTCCATAATCCCATCTTTTCTTGGAATCAGATTTTAAAATTTATTATATTATGCTACTTAAGATGCAGATGGTGACTTTGGGGAAGCTGTTTTTACTTTTTCAATCTTGTGTTTGAGAGGGCAATGTCATGTGACCTTAATGAAGTTGAATAATGTTCCCTGTCCATAAGCCTAGGCTCCCATTGTCTACTGGACTCAAGGCCAAGACAATTTAGTCTGCCACTGTTAAAACTCTGAGTTCATGATTGAGTACTCAAACAGCTAGCTGTGACATGAATAAGGACCAGCATGCATTGCCCTTGAAGTATCCCCAAAGAATATCTTGTTGTCTAGGAAAGACGAGATGATATTACTTTAACCGTTTACATCTGTTGCTATTCCTTTTGTTGTCTGGGCTTCCCAGAAATCAATGTTTTAATCAGAAAACAGTAGCTAATCTGGCCAAAAGCCAATAAGTAAGAGTTGGGGTTTATCTAACAACATGGGAACAGCCCAGCATTAACAATGAAAAGACCTGGAAAGTAGAAAGTGCTTTTTTCCCCCCTTTACTTTTTCTCTTAGCTGGTTGGTTCAGTCTCATGCTATAAATAGCTCTTCTACTTAATGACTATCTGTTAACGGTCATTCTCAGAATTTTTAGGCTTCTTGTTCACATTAGAAGTGCTTATGTACATGTAAGATTCATTGACACTATTCTAGTTCTCAATGATGGTGGTGGTGGTTATGTGCTGTGGAGTCAGTTCACTCATAGTGAACCTGTACAGGGTTTCAACAGGTGTAAATCTTTACAGAAGCAGAAAACCTATCTTTCTCCTGAGGAACAGCTGGTAGTTTCAAACTGCTGATCCTGAGGTTAGCAGCCCAATTCATAACCACTACACTACCTACTAGAGTGCTTTAGCTCTCAATGATAATGGAATGTTAATGGGACTTCACAAAGCCAATGTCACATCATAGCCTACCCAGCTACTCTAAGTTTCATGATAATGTTTGTATTAAGTACTGTTGACTTGGGTCTAACTCAAAGCAACCCTATATAGAGTTTCCAAGGAATGGCTGATGGGTTTGAACCACTAACTTTGTGGTTAGCAGGCCACTGCTTCATCCACAGTGCCACACCAGGACTCATTTTAATAGAGATACTGAATTTCCAGTAATGATTTCACCTGCAGTGAGATTTATTGCAAGCAGGCAAAAATGATAGGCTAAGCCCTGATGTACTCTTGTCATTTCATGAAGATACAACCGAAAATAAAAAGTTTGATCAAAGACATGAGTTTACAATTAGCTGAACAAGGTCCTTCAAATACCTTCAGTAATTACTTTTTTACAGTGAATAGAGTAACTGGAAAATTACCAGAATTGGTCATCACTTTAAACTGACTAGACATATTGAAGGGGTAAAATAGTCTATCTAAATAGAACTGAATGAGAACACTCCCTAGAAGTAATGTCACTGGGAAATGTCAACAGTAAATATCATATTGCCAGTGGGCTTGTTATTCACAGAAGTACTTACATATCTTAAATATTTTCTGCTGGTATTTTATTTAGTGTTACCTACAGAAGTAGTCCTCATGCACAGGTTCTAGTGTGGCACTATAGGATAAGCACTGGACTGTAAACCATAAGGTCAGTGGTTCAAATCCACCATCTGCTCCTCAGAATCCCTATACAGGGTCTTTATGAATCAGAACTGACTCAACAGAGCTTAACACATATGTAGTACTCATGTAGTTACTAGCACGTCTCTGACCTGCCATATTGCTTCATGGCACCAAGCATTCATTTTAACATTTCCTCCATGGTTCTCAGTTCCTCAAGACCTACCTTGCATGTCATCATCTCTGTGAAACCCAACCATCATTCCCTCTAACCTAAAAGATCCAATTACTCCCTACTCTACCTGTACATCGCTTTCTTTTAATACCAGTTGTTAAGTGCTGTCGAGTCTGTTCCGACTCATAGCGACCCTGTATAGGGTTTCCAAGGAGTGAATGGTCAGCTTGAACCACCAATCCTGCAGTTCAAATGACTTTGCAGTCTGGTGCATTAACCCACAGCACCCCACCAGGACTCCAATTAATACCAGTAGTTACTTCCAATTGATTGGCAAAGCATGAACCCCCAAAAAAACACCAACAAAGATAAGGTCTTGTCATGTCTTGAACACTCATCTTTTGCCAATACTTGCTAGAAGACACAAGGACCTAGATTGTATCTCTGTTTTGAAGGAACTCATGAACCACTGGGGAAAACAGAGTACTGTGTAACTAAACTCAGAGATACTAAGAGAGGAGTTTGGGTTCATGTTGAAGCTGAGCTGTTACTCAGTGGACTTATACAACCTCTCCAGAGTTTATATTCTGTGGTTACATATTCTAAGTACATGTTTCCATCATGCTTACCTATATCTTTTAGGCAAACCATAAACCTGTATTTCTCAAACCAAGGTGCACTTGCAGGGATCTTGTTAAAATGCAGATTATGATTATATAATTTTGGGGAGGGACCTGATAGTCTGTCTTTCTAACAAGCTCTGGGGAATGTCAATACGCTGGTCTGCAGACCACACTTACAGTAGTGAAACTAAACAATTGTCATGTAAATATATAAAAATTGTTAGTGTGGCATGAGTTTTTTAGTGCTCTCCACTAGACATTCTTCTGACCATAACTGTGATGAAAGTTAAACTGAGACAGAAAGATTCATCTGTACCCCAGAAAAACGTGACAGGATGCCACCAAACTATTACTTTGCTATATTGTTGAAAATGCTACTGTAGGTCTGCTGCTACTAAGTGATTGTAGTCTTAATGTTTATAGCAAGGTTTGCACAAGTATTGACTTCTGTTTAAGTCTTCCCATATTTAAACCAGAAGAATATCCTAGACTCTTTATGTAAATGGAAATTTCTTCTTAACAAAACTGTAAAATTTTAATCACTTAAATTAAACCATTAAGAAAATATTTAACTTTTTTGAGACAAATTCTGTAAGGCTCACATGTGACTCTTGGCGTAACTCTTAGTGGCTTCTGTGATGGCATCTGTTACCTTTCAACTTACTAATCTACCACTCATCATAAAAGTCGAACTGGAGACCACTGATTCATTTGTCTGTTTTGAATTCTTTTTTCACCAGGATCCTTGCCTGTACTTTCTTATATCATGTCTTCGTGTCTCATGTATGTCTTTTCCCAGTCACGTGTACAAGATGCTTCAACTCTTCCTATTATGTTATTCAACCTAACTTTGCTACTACTGTATACCACTTAAGAGACTGCTGTTGTTAAGCGTCATCAAGTCAGTTCCAACCCATAGTGACCATGTATAGGGTTTCCAAGGAGCAGCTGGTGAGCTTGAACTGCCGACCTTGTGGTTCAAACCAACTTTATAATCTAGCACATTGCTCTCCCCTTGTCATCACATCTTTTTTCCTGACATCAGAACAGTGAATTAAACAAGAAGGGAGCTGTTTCCACCATACAGGACAGATGGGAGAGACTAGAACCTTAGCTCACCCACAGACAGTTTCTCTGCGTAGTCTGAACAGTACTCATCTAAAATAACTTTTCTGTCCTCCCCACTCATGGTCTCACATAGGTTAATGCCAAAGATGATGAAGGTGTCATCGTTGGATCCTGGGACAATATCTATGCGTATGGTGTTCCCCCATCAGCCTGGACTGGAAGTGTTGACATCTTATTGGAATACCAGAGTTCCCAGAATCCAGTCCGGTATGGCCAATGTTGGGTTTTTGCTGGTGTATTTAACACGTGTAAGTATTCCATTTAAGTATCATTGTTTTAATGTAAAGATTTCATTTCATGACTTTTAAAAATCTAAAACCTAGCAGAGAAACCAATCAACCCCTACTGGTGAGGACTTCTGGTGTGGTGCTGTAGGATCAACACTTGACAGTGTATCACAAGGTCTGAAGTTCAAATCTACCAGCTGCTCCTCAGAAACCCTATGTAGACGGAACTGTATGAGTTAGAACCACCTCGACGGCACTTAACAACATTCAGTGTTGTAGTCGATGCACACTTAAATGTACTTACAGTTTCTTTTTGACTACAAAATCTTTATCAAAAGATTAGTACATTATTCCTACATCACGAAACACCCAGAGAACTAGAGGATCACACAGGCCAAATAAGAATGTGAAGAAAAGGATATTTTCTTTTTTAGTTACTCCTCTACATTTATAAAATGTTTAAAGAGTACATTTTAAGAAGAAGACACATATGGCTCATTTTTTTAGAAGCTTTATAAATATGGCTATTTGTGCATAGTTTGTTATTGAGAAGTTTTGTAAATATATACTCTCAATATTTACCTGAGCTATGGAACGGATCAGGGCAAGTGTAAAAAAATCTCCGTTTTTACATAACAAATTGTTGTGAAGTGCCATCAAGTCAGTTCTGACTCATAACAACCCTGTATAAGGAGTGGCTGGTGGTTTCAAATGACCTTGCAGTCCAGTGTTTATCCTGTAGTGATACACCAGGACTCAACAAAATACCCATGAGCAATTTGATATCAGCATCTATTGAATAACCTTGACAATTTTCCTTCTGGTCTTTAATTCTCCCAACATCCAATCCGTAGGGGAAAATATATGGGACCAGAATTAGTCGCTTCTGCCTCATATATCATTTTTTTAAATGGCATTCATCTCTTTAGGCCCAGACAATGTTATAGTTACTTCAGTGAATATTTTTAAAAATACATTTATTTCAGTATGTCCTCATCCTTGGTAATGATTTTAATTCACATGCCATTTCTACAGCCTTGAAGAAAACATTAAACTCAAAACGAAATATTCTTTAATAAAAAGCAGAAAGGAACTAGTTCAATGTAGCTAGCAGTGTTTTAATCAGGAAAACAAAACTAGGAGTTAGAGGTCAGGGTAGAACTTTTTTTTTTTTTCCAAATGGCTGTGAAATGTATCTACTTCACCTCAAATATGCAACAGCCTAAGAATTAAGTCAGTGATCCAAGTGGAAAGAATTCATGAGTTTTGTTTTGGGTTTTCTAAATAAATTATAGTCTTATCCATTTTAGAGTATTTAAGAAATAAAAGAATATTTGCTGGACATGATAAAAGTCCAAGTAGCAGTGCTGGTTTTTGACGTTCTAAATGGAGGCCTGAGTTTCTTGGCAGGATGAGGGTGGAAGGTAGTCCCCCGTCCTCAAGGCTTCCAGACCAAGACTATGTGGAAGCTTCTCAACTCCAGCAGGCATTCTTGAGAAACAATTTCAGGAAAACAGAAAGGGCCCTCCAATTCCCAAATCCACTACCTGTCTGAAGTTTCACCATTCCAGTGTAATTCCTCCGGGTTAGGAACGAGATAAAATAGTAAACACCTTACATCCATTCATGGGATCTGTTTCTAAAAACTTGCTTTGTTGGCAAGAAAAGTCAGAAACATACTGTGAAGCAGTCAAAAGGAGAAAACGTGGGAAATTGGGATAAGAGGAACCGGTGCCTCCAAAGCAAGCTTCATCTCCCTGATGATTAGGAGTAAGGCAAACTCACAATCAATGGTTCTCACTCTGTGAAAATGTAATTTAGTGTGAAGCCAGAAATAGAATCGGAGTGCCAATTATGTCATTGGGGAAAGTGTGACCTGAATGTTGCTGTTGTTGTTAACTTCCATCAGTCGTTCTGGCTCATGGTGCCACAGTATGTACAATGGAATAAATTGCTGCCTAGTACTGCACCTAAGGAGCTCTGGTAGCGTAGTGGTTACGAATCGGGCTGCGAACCTTAAGGTCAGCGGTTCGAAACTACCAGCCGCTCCGCGGGAGAAAGATGAGGCT